TCGTTAATCAAGCAAATCAAAGACAAAAACATTGCTACCACGTGTCTTGTTCCTATATTGCCTACTATTGTTGATTTTCCCCAATCTCAAAACTCTACGTGGCCGCCCTTTCCCCTGGTTACTATTCATCATCATTGTTCTCATTCCAAAAACCCAGGTTCTTCAACCCAGATTTCCAAACCCTTTCCATCATACCCAGAACCTCAAATCACCATTAATCCACTTTCGTTTCCATCATCCTCTTCACAACTGAAACGAAGCATCCCAATCATTTTCGAAACCCACTTTTCTTCATCAGATTTCCACCATTTCATCATTCTCTTCAACTCACCATCACTTAATCTTCGACTTTCTTCAAAACCCATTTTCCATAAACCCATTTCTCCATTAATCCGACCTCCAAACGAACCTCTGCCGGCGAATCACTCACCTCCCAACGAACCACATCAAACCTCCATAACAGAATCACTCACCGTTAATCCACTTCTGTTTCCATCATCCTCTTCACAACTGAAGCAAAGCATCCCAATCATTTTCAAAACCCATTTTTCTTCATCAGATTTCCACCATTTCGTCATTCTCTTCAACTCACCATCACTTAATCTTCGACTTTCTTCAAAACCCATTTTCCATAAACCCATTTCTCCATTAATCCGACCTCCAAACGAACCTCCGCTTGCGAATCACTCACCTCCCAACGAACCATGTCAAACCTCCATAACAGAAACTCCCTTCCTCTTCTTCCAATCGAAACTCCATAAACTTTATCTCCTACAACAACCATTAATCAAACCCAAATCATTACCTCACCAACTTTCACTCAACCCTCCATTGTTCTTCGACCTTCTTCAAACCTAGAAAAACAACTTCACCACCCATCTCCCTACAACAGCTCCGCGAAACCCATTAAACTTCTTCAAACCAAACGCAAACCTTCATAAATCCTCCACCCTCACCTTGATTCAACAACAACAAACCTTCATAATCAATTTTCTATTCTTCACCCTTCATCCACTCTCCTCGTCGGAAACCCATTTTCGCTCCAACTCCTCCATTAAGCAACAACTCCACAAAGCTCAAACCAAAACAGAACGGAAGGAAATGTGAGAGATGAAGAGAGTTCGAAAAAAAGAAGGAGTCAAGGTGATGCATTTTGCTCGGACGTGTTTTTGGACGATGGTGGTGATAAAAGTGGAGAACCGTGTGGTTCTTTGGAGCAAAAGTTTTCCAGATTTTGTTTTTAATACAATTGTCTTTTTTCTCTTTAAAATGGGTTTTTATTGGTTGTACAAGAGTTTACTTTTTTTTTAATATTAACTGTGGGTTGACCCATTGCCCTTGTTGGTGAGTTTACCACCCTTTTGCTGTCTTGCGGCTTGAACAAGAATGGTGATGGGCCTTGCCCAAATGATCCATAGACTGTGGATTACCCCCGCTGTTTCTCATTATACCCCTGATCTGAACTTTTCTTTTTAGAAAATGTAATATAATATATTTTAGTTTGTAAAAGATTAGTTAAATCTGCTTTTAGTTTTTATAATCTTTTTGTAAAATAGTTTAATACATTAAATTAGTTTTTAATTTCAATACTTTTTTACTTTTCTTTAGAGTATTATATATATATATATATATATATATATATATATATATATATATATATATATATATATATATATATATATATATATATATATATATATATATATATATATATATATATATATATATATATATATATATATATATATATATATATATATATATATATATATATATATATATATATATATATATATATATATATATATATATATATATATATATATATATATATATATATATATATATATATATATATAATATTTTTATTAATTTCTTTTAGAACTATTCATATTTTCTTTTAGAAGTTAGATTTTATTTCTCATTTTTCATTGACCATTTTATTCCACTTTTGCTTTTTTTGGTCTATGACGAGACTTCCGTAATCCATTACCAGTCAAATTATTGATGAATAATGTTGGATCCGAGACCACCTCCTTTCTATCCTCATTTCTTCTTCTTTTCGATTTTATTTTGACTTTACTTGATCGAGGAAGTCTTGTATCCGTAACCGTCATATTTTCGGAGTTGATAACCTTCCCGATTTCAAATCTATGGAAGACGACCATTTGGGTCATTTTCTTTACTTCGGGATCATGATAGGCTACCTTCGATTAATCGACATTTTGTTTGCGATTAAGACGAGATCCCATTCTTTTGGTCCGTGCGACACGATTTAATTGGAGAATGATCCTCAATATCATTTCTCTATCTTGTCCTTAGCACAGATATCAACTACGCGACCTACTATAGTTTGACTTCCCTCATAATTCGAGCTACGATGGTTTAGCGTCACATTGGTCCCGATTCGATCTGATTAACCCTTTCGAACTGTATTTCGAAACATCATCATCAAGGATCAAAGAGGAGATTAGAAGCTTGGAAACAAAGCTTGCATGCAATTTCAAGGGTCAACAAAACCACTCCGTTCGGTAACTTTCCTTACTTCAATCTTTTTAATCAATCGCTGAGTGGTTTGAGCCGTTAGCGTTAGATACGTAGAAAATGATGAGTGGGGAGCCTCTTCTCACTTTGTCTAGAGTGTTTAACGTATGCCCTTTAAGCGATATGCGACGCATTCTCTCCTACGTCTTAGGATTTAGCGTGTGCGTTCTGATCCGGTTCCATTCCGTTTAGGCGTTTCAGGCCTATGATCCCTTTTCTCTCGCATCCTTGCGATTGAGACTCCTTTTCTCTCACCCCCGTGCGATCGAGAACACCCCTGTTTTCCCGTAGTTAGCCGAACTACGGCTGCTCTGATTTCTCATACCAGATGAGAATACGTAGGCACAGGATTGCGATGATCCTGACGAGCACTTTTCTTTCTTTCCCCCCTTTAGTCAACCATACCTTTTCACCCAAGACATGCTACGTTCGTTCTACCGCAAACAGGTAACGCCTAAGTCTCCAATGGTCGAGCATCAATACACCTAACTGCTAGAATGCGTACGCTAGTATCGTCTACCCGAACCTTTTCTCTCGCCCCCGTGCGATCGAGAACACCCCGTTTTTCCCGTAGTTAGCCTGAACTACGTTTTGCTCTAATTTCTCATACCAGATGAGAATACGTAGGCATAAGACGTGATGTCTTGGCGAGCAACCTCCCTCGTAGTTTCCCGAACTACGTTGACTCTGACTTTCCCATTGCACGAGGGAATACGTAGGCATAGGGCGGCGATGTCCTATCGAGTCAGTTCTTTCCGTTCCCCCCGTTTAGCAGCAGCCTTAGATAATTTGTTTTTCACCCATAGATTTAGACAACAAGCGTGGATCCCGCTGAGTACAACAGACGTGAGGGGTGCTTATACCTTTTCCTTGTGTAACCGACTCCCGAACCCAAGATTTGGTTGCCATGACATGTCTTTCCCCTTTTTCATAGGTTTTCTCTGATCGTTTTCTTTCTCTCTCTTTGGGATAAATAACGAACGATGGCGACTCTTCTGTCTTTGCCGGTCCTTTTTTCGCAGCGATGCGACATGCGTAACTACATAATTATTTCGGAGATGTATCTCTAGAATAAGTTAAACTAAAAGATAGAGTGTAACTCAGAATGACCTTTGTTGAGTGTGTGCTAGGTGCGTACGGAGATGCATCTCCGAAAACAAGGGACATTTATGGAAATTCACATGGTGCAGTAGGAACATCTAGGGTGCCATAAGAAATTCTATTATTTTTTATTTGGGTCTTACATGCTATAAGCCCATTTATCTCTTTTATATTTGTGAATTTCTTAAAGCATCCTATATGTTTCTACTGCACCAGGCGAATTTCCAAATTTTTTCCCTGTTTTCGAAGATGCAACTCCAGATGCACCTCTTACGCACTCAAAAAAGGTCATTCTAAGAGGCGTCCTATAAGTTTGACTATTTTTATTCCAGAGATACATCTCCGAAACATTTTAAGAAATAACTTAATTATTTACCAGTTAAGTAGAAATTCTGGAGTTACATTTCCGGAATTATGGGCAGAATTTTGAAATTTTCTGCCACCTTTGCATGTCAGATATTTTCGGAGATGCATCTCTAGAAATATCTGATAAAAGAAGTAGTTGCATGATCTATGGGCAGGCTTTTGAAATTTTCTGTCATCTTTACATGTCAGATATTTTCGGAGATGCATCTCCGCACGCACCTAGCACACACTCAACAAATGTCATTTTGAAAATATAAATTAAAAAATGAAAAAGAAAGAGTAATAAATAGTAAATAATATATTAAAAAATTAATAATATTATATTAAAAATGTAAGATAACTTTTTTATTTTATTTTAAAAGTGAGTTTTATAATTTGGGAAGGAGGGATAATATGTAATCCTCGAGACATATATACACTTAAATTGAGATGAAAAAAAAAACTAGTAATAATCAAAATGACAACAATCCTCTTTATTAAAATACTTTTAACTATAAAATATTTCTTTCAACTTATTTTATTTTTAGGTTAATAGATATAATTTGTAATTTTTAATTTATTATAATAAAATTTTAATTTCATTTTATTTTTACTCTATTATAATAAAAAATTAGAAAATAAATTGTGTCTTTTTTAAATAATTTTTTTAAGGATTGGATTAAATTGAGGAATTTATCATAGATTAAAATGAGTCCTTACCTAAACTAAAACACTAAAGTTTAGATTAATGTTGTAAAAAAAGATTAAAGCTTTTTAGATTACTCCTAATAACTGGGTTTTGATATTTTGGGTTTCTTTTCTGTTCATTCGTTCATCCGCTAAAACGCTCATGCATTGTCTAGAATTTCCGTTGCACGAACCATGAATGAGTTGTGTTGATGTTGGAAGTAGCAGTAGCATATCCATGATCTGAAACAGCCACGGTTTTTTTAGGGTTGCGAGTGAACAAGTTGTTGAAAAGGGGTTTTCATACCCTTTGGTGTCTTGAGATGATAACCCGTTCAAAACTCGTTGAGCAGCTCAGAGATTACCAGATCCGATCTCAGCACAAATACTCTCCGCTCACTTTCTTCTCTCCCAAACCTCATATCATTACTTGGTAAATTAATTTCTCATCCTTTTCCTCTTACTTTTTTACAATTTCATTATGTTCTAATTTTGATTTGTAACTGTTTGTTGTAAGTCGTGTGTGACCACTACTTAGGTTGTTTTGCAATTTTTTAATGAAAACTATGACACAACGACACAGATAATAATTTGGAAAAATAGATAGAATTAAACACGTGGGAATGAGCTTGCTTTTTTGTTGTTGAAGAATTGCTAATGAAATGCTACCTGTTTAGTTTGAATCCTGCTAGGTAAAGAAATGAGATATCTGGGATGGCTTCATCTAGTGGGAAAAGTTTTGTTTGTTGTTGTTGCTGTTGCTGGGGTTCCTATAAGAATAACTGTGATTAGATGTAAGACTAACCTTAAGACACGAAGTGTATGTTTGGTTCTGCAATGAAGAAAATTGAGTTTAAGTGATTAGATTATGTTAAATTTGGTTATGGTAAAAAGTGAGTTCAAGATAAATTGATTTATGTTTGAATAAATTGTAAATGTGTGTTTAACGATAAGTTTTAGTGTAAAAATCGCCTTTAAACTCAAAAGCTACAAATCCTAACTTCAATTAGAATCAATTCTGAAAACCATAATCAATTCTACTTGAAAGCAACCAAACACATCAGAATCAATTCTACACATCCAGAATCAATTATGAGTTCTCTAAACGTGAAACCAAACATACAAGTAGTATTTAGATAAAGCTATTGTTACTTTAGGATTCAAACTCTTCAGATTGCAGCATAAAGTTTTCTTAAAGTTCACCATCTACTTCTGTTGATCGCAACAGTGTTGGGTTATTTTGAAGTTATGTAGTGTGTACTTGTTGTATTGAAGTTGTGAACTTCAGTGTGCGTGTGTAGAAAAGATTGATAGTTTGGATTGGGTTATGGGATCATGCGATATAGCATTTGTATGATAATTCAATGTCCCAATTAGTTTTCAATGCCCCCAGAATTTGATTGTGGACTCCCTTGTCCATTTGAATTCTTGACATTAAGGGACATAGCTTTGAGGGGAAAAGACAGGAGTTGTTTACATTTGTTTGCTTTCAAATCCGGGGCATCTGAATGCCATGCTATGTTGAGTTTTCTGTTATAGGTTTACTTCATGTTACCCTTTTGATTTAATCCTTTGCAGTTTAACAACAGTATGAAATTTTTAGGAAAAACAAGAATAAAAAAGCTAATGAATTTTTAGCCCCGAGGTTTGTCTGGAGGGAAATCTCGCATTCTTTTCGAACTTCAATACTTTAATATAAACCTCCATAGCTTTAAGGAGAGTGGTTTGTCTTTTAACTGAAAAGATTTTTGCTTTTTTAAAAATTAATTCTGTGTAGTAGACCACTCACTCTAACACTTATCTCTATTGCATTTAGCTATATTTGATCAATGTGTTTTGCCTTTCTTGGGATCATGGATATCCATTTTTCTTGAAGAAACAAACCTGGTTACCCGAGGAACCCAAATCTTAATTTTTCTTCCTTCGTCCTATTGATTAAAAACAATGGCATTAAAAGTGTACCATGAATGTGTTTATGGAAACTGAACATTTCTTCTATTGAAGGTATCATTATATGTTAAAGCAAATAAAATCATTTCGTGCAACTGCTTAAGTGCCTGGCATTACTGGAGATAATGATCCATATAACTGGCTAAGGGAACACTAGATTTCTGAAATTTTGACATTACCTGTATAATAAAGAAAAATGTCTTGTAAGTTGTCATGAACCTAGTGTTATCAAATATCAGCCATGGCGGATATAAGTGGCGGTTTTTAGGTTCTCGCCACAGCCAAATATGTGAAGGATGGCGGCGCCACAGCGCAATATGTTGGGATTTATTGTGAAATTTTGATTCTCCGCCATGGTCAGCTGTTTGCCATCGGTAACACTGCTTAGAACAAATTGATAAAGATGCAACCGTTAGATATGTTTTACAGGCAAACTAGTTTGTAAAGTTGATATGCAATCAGCTAAGCTGTTATGTGCTCTATTTAGGCGTACTATAATATATATTCTGCTTTCATTTTTACACAGTTTAAATTTCTTATGTCGTCGTACAAAACGATGGAAAAATGATGTTGAAATGGAGGAGGGTCCCGGGTGTTTTTTATATGATAACTGGTACTTAATGAAATTTTTTATCGCACAACTATAACTCCGATAATGTTTTTTGGAACACAATGATGAGCGGTAAAAAGACAACATAGACAACACGAGAATAAAATTAATGTAGGAGAGAAGGATGTTGTGCCGCATGTCTAGAAATTCTATACGTGGTAGTATTATGAATGATAGCATTAGAAGAAGAGTTGGAGTGACACCCATTGTAGAAAAGAGAGTTGAATCTCAACTTAGATGAGTTGGGCATATGTGGGAGAGACCTATAGAACCCATAATAAGGAGATTAGATTAGATGCAGGATAGCTCAATCACTAAAAGCATAGGAAGGTCAAGAAAAACTAAAGAGTAAATCATTAAACGAAATTTATAGGTCAACCATTTAACTAGAGTCATGATTTATGATCAAACACTGACTCTGTTTGATCCATGTGGCCGATCCACTTTGTGCAATAAGCCTTGGTTTTTGTTGTTATTGCGAGATGGTTTTATCAGGTTAACATATGAAATATATTGAAGATGGATAGGACGTGACATGATGCGATTATGCTTGACAATTTCCTTAACTTTTTGCAGGGTTGATGTTGCTGTGGCAATTGCTTTGGCTCTAGTGTTCTGCGCACTTGTCCTCATATCCTGCATGACCCTTTATTTAAGGCGTTTTTGGATTTTTCTTCTTGTTGTATGCTTCATTATATTACTTCTCACACGCCTAAGAGCTTCTAGGCAAACCTTGGCAAGGAAAAGAGAAAGAAGACTTCCATTGTCCATATGAGCATTCTGTGGTGATATCTCACATGACGATGGCAGGCAGGCAAGTGAATATACCTTAGGTAATTTGGTGATATTTGAGTGCTGCCATTACTAGTGTAGGACAAAAACGAAATTTTTCCTACCTTTTTGAGGGATACGACATTCAGCTTCCAATCCATATGCACAAGCCAAGTGAATTTGTCGTACCCTTATTTCACTTATAATACTCATAATTTGGTCCTACGGAGCGACATGAAATTTCTCCTTATTTTGTTGTAGATTTTTATCATTTTCCCAGATGTTCTGGTGTGACATTTCTAGCATAATCTCTTCAGCCAAAGTAGTATAGAGATGTGATTTACAAATGTAGATAGTTGGAGCTGATGAGCAAATAATAATAGAAATATCCTCACTGGAAATCGCAAGCCTTTCTTGTATGCATTCCACTTTTTTTATTTTCCAACTCTCTTAGCCATTTCCTACTTTCCACAGCCCAACATGACATTGAATGTATATACATGATATTGAATTATTCCTTCCGAGTCGTCCAGATAGTAAAATCCGGACACACCCTATATGTTTGAAAGTTGTGGTTGAAACTGCCACAATTTAAGAGAAACATATACTAATGTGCAACCTCTTTCCCTTTTTGCTTTCATTTCCATTGAAGTTTCTTGTGGGTTTTTTTGTACTTTTTTTAATAAAAAAAAAGATCAAATTTTGTTGAGAATATTTGTTTTTACAAAATTCTGATATTAATACTGCATAAGGTCAATGGAAGTGCAATTAATCAATTTTGATGCTCATATTTTTTCTCATATTAAATATTTGTTTGGAATGCTTCTATGTCACATTATTTATCATTTTAAAATACCAAAAAAATCTTACTATTTTTCAATATTACTCTTATTTATTGGAGCAACTCTAGTGTAGAATTTGATCATAAATAAGGGTACAGGGATATTTGTTACTGCAAAATATATTTTAAACATTTGGGTAAAAAAAAGCAGTGCAAAATTAATCCAGTATCACTAGGGTTTGTTCTGCCTCTTTTGAAGACAATACTCGCCTAGTCGCTAGGTAGGGACAAAATTGGAATGAGGAGGATGTCTCTGTTTTTATTGTCTCAGAAGATTTGATTTCTAAGTTAGTTACTGAAGCAATGTGTTTAGAATTGCTTAGATCTTGCATATGATTAGGGGTGCTAAAAATTCTGGTTTACAAAAATCACTTTTAAAAATATGGTGAATCTATTTTAAAAGTCTATATTTGGTTTAAAATTAATCCAAATCCATTTTATTAAAACCACAAAAAATCCGTATTCACTTTTTAAAATCAATATATAAATTGTTAGTCCACTTTGTAAATATAGTATGTTTTTTATCTGTTTCTGTTTTATGGTTATAAATATTTAATAAGAAAAAGTCATTATTGATTTCTATAAGATAAATTCATTAATTTTTTTTAGAGAGATTTGTGTTTAAACTAATGTTCCGAGAATGATATGTAAGTTGAAATAATATGAATACTCTGTTTTCTCTTAAAAATTTCTTCCACGTGAATGTGAAGATTGGTGGGATATGAAAATGCTAAGTGTAATGCTGAGAGGAGTTTTTTAATAGGTGAAACAAAAGAGAATTATGTATATATGAGATAGATGAGACACATGGGATATGAAAATGCTAAGTGTAATGCTGAGAGGAGGTTTTTTAATAGGTGAAACAAAAGAGAATTATGTATATATATGAGACAGATGAGACACACAAATCCATTATATATATATATATATATATATATATATATATATATATATATATATATATATATATATATATATAGTTAAATTAATTATTTAATTAATCAAATATAAATTAATATAATTAATTATATTATGGTCTATTGTTATTAAATACTAAATAGATGAATTGTTTGATTGGATTTTGTGCCTGAATGAACCGTAATGGGTTGGACCATTCAGTTAAGTCTAATGAGAGGTCCTTGCCCTCAGCCGTTTAGCTATTTAAGTGTCTCTCTATTAGACAATTAACTCACTCCTAAAACCCTAAACGACAGTGAGGGTAGTAATTCTCTCATACTCACACTCTTCCGATAGCCGTCTCTCAAATCCTACAAGGTACGTAGTTCTTATTATTGTCGATTATCCTTAATACTATAATTTGTATCTATTAAATTAATTTAAATCCTTCATATATATATATATATATATATATATATATATATATATATATATATATATATATATATATATATATATATATATATATATATATATATATATATATATGTGTGTGTGTGACGTTACTTGAATGATTATTGTGTGATACAGAAAATAGTTGAATATTTGTTTAAATATTTTAAAATTTTAATATTAATAATTCAACTATTATTCTCTATCAAGTGGGAGAATTTAACATGTTAATTATATAAAAATCAAAAACAAATATTATTTGTTTAATATATATTATTATTTTATAGAGACTTATATTAAGGATATTTTAGTCTTATACTATATCCTCAATATTAAATTTGATTAAAGTCTCATATTTTTTCGCTGCGTATAACATAATATGTTTCTCAAATGTGTGTAGTTATATTTGTAGCATTTGAGCTTTGAGCGAGTTATTAATATATCATATAAAGTCTTATATTCTATTTAAAATTATATAGATTTGATCTCACTCAAAAGATAATAAATCTTTTATATGACCATCATATTCTTTCACGTGCAAAATATGTGGTTGAGTTTGATGATATATTATAGAACCACTTCTCTGTATAATTTTGCACTAAAAATAAAATTAGCATCCCGTTGTTCAATCAGAATATTTAATATTAGTGGCCTCTGATAAATCCTTATCATATTGGATTAGTGGGAGTGGAGTGCATGTGTACACAATTATATAATCTAAAAAATTTGGATTATTATTCTCATAGTGTCATATATTCTTGCGCGCACTATAAATATGACATATTCTAAAAGGACTTCAAAATATGAAATAATTATAAGAAGTCTTATTCTGTTATACTGAGATATATATTATTCTCTTAATCTCAGGAAACATCATAATTTGATGTTTAGGTTGATATTGAAAAGACATAATAATTTTTTATCATGCAATATTGTGTTATTCTATCTTAAATAGTCCACATTTGTCAGGTCACACTACAACATTTTGAATATACAGCAACACAAAAAAACCGTTGCAAAATACAAAAAAGCCGTTGCCTTTACATATGAGAATGGTTTTCAGGACGTTCTAAACCAAGGCGTTGTTTTAGTCTTTAGGAACGGGTATTTAGCCAACGGCAACGTCTTGTTCAGAGCCGTTGCTGTAATTTTATATAGAGAACGGTCTAGAACAGCAACGACTGGACTCCGTTTTCAAATTTAAACCGTTGCAATTGTTGTTTATTAGAAAACGACTATTTTATGAAATATAACAACGCATCTTATAAACCTGATAATAACATCATTCACAATTTGTTTATATAAGAATATTCAAATACAAATTTTAAAATAATCTTGCATTTAAAGAAAATACATGACATAATCCATTTAAATATCATAATGTCAATCATTGATTCACAATCAACAAAACATCTTCAAATTGCATATCGTAATTCAACAAAACATCTTTAAATTATATATCCCAATGTCAATCATCATTCATAGTCAAAATTATTGAATGGTTTGCTACAAGCTCCACTGCAATCGTCAGTCTCTTCCTCTGCTCGGTTGATAAGCCAGAAGTGACAGGCATTCCAACTATAGCATTTCTTAAACTCTCAAGCTCTACCAGTCTCATGACTTGTTCGACAAGTTCCTTCAAAACAAGTATTTCGTCAGTTAATTTGGTCTCTTCCATAATTAATCAGAAGTTAACATGTCTCGTGTAGGAACTTAACAAGTATTTCGTCAGTTAATTTGGTCTCTTCCATAATTAATCAGAAGTTAACATGTCTCGTGTAGGAACTTACTAACTTTTTTTCTTTGGTTACATCCTTCGGAAGCCTAAGTGATGCGGAAAACCAGAGAGATTCCTGAACCGTCATTTCGGGAGAATGTATGTCATTTTGTTCAACATATCCCGATATTCTTGCAAATGTGTGTTGCACTTTTGGATAACCAGATATTTTAATATCGCCCTCGATATAGCCTCCGGTTTTTCTTCCTGCAAGCACATCCATTAAAGTCATTTTCCCAGCTCCACTTGATCCCATTAATGCTGTAAGTACACCAGGTGCAAAAACACCACTCACATTTGCCAAAAGCTTCAACTTAGTTTCTGTTACACCTTGTTGTCTTATAGCCTGAAGAAGAAAAAAACAAGTTAATTGAGAAATAGTAAATGGAACAAAAACAATCAACTCGTTCTAGTTTCTTGCGTTCAGATTTTCGCAAACTTCGTTCACCTTTGGCATATCAACGTAATAATTAACATTGTGGAATGTCATTGTCAATGGTTGAAACAGAAGAATTCATTGACTGAAACTGCTCTTTGTGCATAGTGAAGAGGTGATAACCAGTAAGCCCAAGACCACCATGGCTTAATCATTCCTGACATATTCAACCAAGATTATGAACAACATTTAGAAAATTTGATATTTTGTCCCATAGTTTTCAGTGCAACCTACCTAGTGGGACGATAAATCCTCCCAATAAGAATAAAACCATCAGTACTCCCGATCCTGCTGTATTACCAATGACTATATCGCGTCCAAGAGAACCCATTAATCGGAAGAGACCTAATGCCATTTGGTGCAACATGAACAACAAAAGCATGTAGCAACCGAATCTGAAATAATAATCGGATTGCGAAGAGTATATTAGTTTTAAAATAAGAAAGAAGAAAAAAACATGATAAAATACGAATGTAAAGTAAGAAACCTCCCAACAGAAGGAGAAAATCCAATACTATAGTATACAACACAAGTCCACACAACAACTTCAACAATGGAATAAGGTATTTGAAGCAGCCATGAGGACAGTGTCCAGGCCCATGCTGGATAATGCAAGAACAATTCAGAAAAGGTAGAGTAAAATAATTTTCTTTTAAATATAAGTCTGCATACAATACCATTAACAAATCAGCATTTTTACCTTGCTTGTCTGTTCTAACAAGTCCTCTATAGCAGTAGCAACATCAGGACCATCATGGGTTACCTCCCGAGCATCTTTGAGCTGGGTCCAATAAAGATCTCACCATTGCTGGATCCAATAAAGGATCAAATAATTTCTTATCAACTGTAGCCGGTCATGCCTTTCATTTGCAAAAAACGAAACTTGGTTTGTGACCTTTAGCTCATATGGTGACAACTCCAACTCTTGCGCCAAAGCTCTATTTCTGAAGTTAGAATTTTATACCTTAGGAAATTTACTCTGCGAGGTTAGCACTCTTAGGTTATACAACCTAAAAACATTCTATATGTATTCAACATCTTTCATGAATTTTGATACTTGTTCCGGTCCTCTTTTGCTGGCCCTGTAAAATCTACCATCAGAATCGATGTATGTTATTGTGGTACGCTTGTCTACAGGATTGAATGGTAGAAAATGAACATCAGTGATGTTTGCACGTGCCTGTAGAGAAAAGAGGGAAAACGTTTTTCTTTCATTAGTATGCCATTCATATTAACGATGGCATCTTGATTTCAAAAATCTCATTTTTGGTTGAGATTTTTCCTTATTTTTCTTTCATTGGTATAATAAAGGAGTATTGGAAAAACTTTTGTATTGTAGCCCATGTTTCTTTACACTCTACTACCTCTTTTGGATCAGCCAACATATTAACGATGGCAGTATCGATGGCATCCTGATTTTCCAATCTAGCTGCCCTAGCTGCCAATAGAACAATCATATTTTTGTCCATGTTTCTGTTGAAGACCTATTTCACAAGTAAATTCTTCAGGTGTGAAACTCTAAGTAATGACAACACCTCTCAGATAAACTGTTTCATCAACAATATGGATAGTGTATTTTCATTTGTAGTTTTCAAGTACCTACACCTCTATAAGATTTCTATCAACAGACAGGCGATTCAGCGTAAGAGTGCCGGTTTTGTCACTGCATAAGACATCCATGCCTGCCATTTCTTCAATTGATGTCATTCTTTTTGTGATAGCTCCCTTAAAGAAAAAGCATACCTGCATAGCAAGCTTGTTTCCTGCATGTGATCCACCATTAATGACATTGAAAGCTGGAACAGGCAAAACCAAATTCTTGTTGCCTGCAATGTTTGCAATATGCTGCACCAAAAGAATGACCAAACAAAAGTCAGATGCATAAAAATAAGGAAAAATCTCAACCAAAAATGAACGACAGAAGAAAAATGGGATGAGTTGGTGGGTGAGTAACTATGATGAAGGAGGAGGGGTGTCACTGCTGTCAGAATTAGCAATTTCACCATCTATTCTAATAACTCAAGTGTAAAAGAATAATTGTAATCAATCTGACAGTATGAGTATAATTACATACAATAACTATGTTCTTAATGCCAAATAGCAATAAAAAAAATGAATACAAGTTTGACGTAAAATAGTAAATATTTTAAGTAATGAACACCTTAATTAGAATACCATGGTTCCATCATCTAACTAACAGAGGACACTAAATATAATTTAGTACCATATTTCATAAATAAACTACCTTGTAAAGAGGGATTTTTAGGACTCCAACACCAGCTTTGCACACTGCAAGAGACACTTCCAATATGGCATTTGCCCCAAGCTAAAAAAGAAGCTTTAGTAACAAAATTAATCTTATATCTAAGACGTTTAAAATCCCTGAACTATACAATCATGGTCATAATTAACAATTTGGGGAATTGTTAAATAAATTTAAACAAACCTTTCCGATCAATGCCGGGGCAATGACGGTGTTCACATTGTCAACGGCCTGCAGGTACCAGAAAAAGAGATCAGGCAACTTTATAGCAAATGGAAATCCCCCCTTTCTTCCACACCCATTCCACTAAAGTAACAATAGAGAGCTACTCTGCAATTTACTTGACAATCTGGTAAAACTGAACAAAGAAGTCGTGATTAAATGGCCACTTTCTTTTAACTTAGCTGAGTCTTATTTCCAATAGCAAGTTATAGAGAATCGATTCAAAAACCCTGCCATTTATTTTACACTTGTCAAATAATTTTAGGGAATTAGGGGTACTACTTCTCAAACTAAGCTGATGATGTATTCAAACCTACATACAACAAATGTTGATATTACATCATATACTAACCTGCCTGCTACTTAAGTTTCCTCTATTAGCTGGCAAAGGTTGAGTTTATGTTTAACATATGCTGATACTGAAAGACAAAACACGTTCTTATGTATTGGCTTGTATGGTCAAATATTAGGGTTGTATTTCACTGCATGCTACTTCAAGTTAGAACTCTATCTATAAGCATTTGCCTTCCAGACAAGTCTTCTTCATAACTAACAACCTGCATGAGAAGTATGAACTTGTCAATTACCATTAGCCTGTGCAGAAACTGAGTAACTCTTTTTCCCATGAAAAACAGAACTTAAAAGTAAAAGGAGCTGCATGTGATAAAACCTGAGATTCTGTTTGTGTTTCACTAAGATCATCATACATTCCAGCTTTTCGGTCTTGAGGAGTCTCACCATTATCTCCATTTATTCCATTTCTGAAAAGTATAAGATCAGTGTTGATCTATACAAAATTGAAAAATGATATACAAGATGCTTCCGTTACAGTTTATACTGTTATCAGATGCATTATAAGATAGATTCTAACAACAAATATATCTACTTTATTTGAACCAGTTCCATTTGAAAAAATGCTACAAACCAGTGAGATAAGCATATTTACCGAACATTTCTACTATACACAAATGAGCTTGTAAGCTAGTCAAATCTACGAAATACCAGACACAGCCTAAATGGTGAGACGGCAACGACAATAAACATTTTTAATAGGGAAGTACGGAAAACCAACCTGTTTAACCAGTGCTTTGATAATCCATATACAGTGTGAGGATTTGGATTGTCTTGGCCAATGGGTGAACAATCAGATGAGTAAATCTATTGTACTGTAAAGGATCACTACTACATACAAAAAAATAAAATTATAAAACAGAACACAACCTCCATTGAATCTATCACACTTAAAGGATACACTTCTCTCACACCCTATATTCCCTGAGGACCTCTGATCGTGCATCTTTGAGATAAGAAAAGAGAGTGGTTAATGCAAGAACAATTCAAAAAAGGTAGAGTAAAATAATTTTCTTTTAAATATAAGTTTGCATACAATACCATTAACAAATCATCATTTTTACAGTTTATCTCATGAAAAAATATATATAGCTTTCCATAATACTCTTTCAACAACCAAAACAACTAAAAACTAGGAGAAACTAACATTTGCTGTATAACTAAGCTATTACAAAATTAGGATTTGAATGCTGCCCTATTACAAATAAGTAGGTCAATCTAGTTATCAAGTGTGTGACTTCTCTTATGATACTAAACCTTCACACACAAATATTGAGGATAAAAAAGTGTTACGAGCTTGAGACCCTACAACAACTTAACACTTAAATAAATTAAGATATTATGTTAAAACACACCACCTTAGCATCAGGAATCATAGAAGTAGCCAATAGAAATTAAAACACGGTTCACCTAACACTCTTCAAGCCTAAATACAACGAAAAACACTAAAAAAAGAGTAATAAAGGAAAACAATGACAACTAAATTATCCATCCAACACTGCCATCTTTTTAAACTATGACAGAACCCAAATTTGTCATCATACTAACACATCCACCCTACCCTGCAATTGATATATAACAAGCCAAGCCAACAAACCCCCGCAACAAGTGGCCATGTACACATCAAAACAACCACCCAACAAATGAAGCTAAAAATTAGAATTTATTTTACTATCTCAAGTAAAAGTTTTGGTAGAGATATAAGTAATTCGATTGGTAAAAAAAATTATTTATATTTGATTGCTTTAGTCAATAAGATGAAATTACTAACATATCCTATTAATTCTCTTAAAATTTTCCATTTTATCAAGGAAATTTTGAGCTAATTGATCAAGGAGCAATAATACATTAACACATTACTGCTTTGAGTTTTAAAACCTTGTACCAGAAAGTTCCACGAACAAATAAATTAATCTAGTTATGACTAGTTCACCCTTACAGAACACTAAATATAAGGTTAAACAACATAGGAAATCAACAATTTTAACTAACCGGGTATTAGATTTTGAAATAAGAGTATTATTACTTTATTTGAGAAACAGAATCAAATCATATACAAAGAGAGCATGCAACAATAATAACCCTAAAATCTAATTTTTTTAAATCTAAATCCCATCCATTTCAAAACATCATCCAAACTTAATAAAAAAATTAGCAAATTTGATATGAAAAAAGAAATAAATCA